ACATTGTTGAGTAATATGTAAAGCACTGGAGCCTATTTTAGGAAGCTACATAATGTTTTAGAGACTATTATTGATTTAGACAGCAAAGAATAGCCTACAGGTAAATCCTGTAAGGTACTTTTACACAAGCACACACCTACCTTCCTGTTGGCACATCTCATGTTTGGCAGGTGTAGTCTATTCCTAACAGGAAGGAATAGGTGCTTCATTGTATTTCTGAAGTCAGGAAATTTTGCAAAACTAAGTGATTGACAGTTTTCTCGTTTCTGAGGTCAAATTTTCATAAATCATTCAACTTGGATAAACTGAAAATGTGGTTTATCTAGTAATTGTTGAAATTTAGTAATGACATTTTAATACCTGGTATTTAAGTATTTCCTCCAAACCACTTACCCTAGCAATATATAAGAATTCTCAATGGAAAGATGTCCTAAAATATAAAAAAGGAAACAAAGACATTGGCCATTGAAAACCCATATGAACAGCAGCAGAATATTGTCTGGTATCGTGCCAGTAGATTGGAAGGCACTCAAAATACGACTGTGGAAGAGCTGCCCCCTCAAAGTACAGTTGACCTTAATAACATGGATGGAGTAAAGCTCTCAGGATCTTCATTTGCCGATGAGGCACAGCTCAATATGAGAAGAAACAGCTGCAAGCATCCATTAATATCTGATGTGAAATATGCAAAGTATAAATCTAGGAAAATTGGTTGTCAACAATGAAAGTAACACATAAAGATTAATAACCTATATCATTCGTGAGCTAAAATGAGCTAGTATTGGCCCATTTTGAAATGGACATTCATGTAGTTTTCTATGCTGGGAATGACAGATTCAATCAGAACAGTGTCACATTCATCATCAAAAAGAGCATTTCAAGATCTATCTTGAAGTACCTTGCTGTCTGTGATAGAATAATATCTGTACATCTACAAAGAAAATCAGTTAATACTTCTACTAATCAAATATAACCATCAACAACTAAAGCCAAAGAATTCTGCCAACCTCTGTAGTCCAAAATTGATCAAACATGCAACTGAAATGCATTGATCATTCCTGGTGAGTGAAATGCAAAAATTGGAAACAAAGGGAAAGGATCATGGTTGGAAAATATGGCCTTGGTGATAGAAATAATGCTTTCAATTACATGCTAGAATTTTGCAAGACCAACTACTTATGTGTTGCAAATACATTTTTTCAACAACATAAACAACAACTGTACATGAGGGCCTGATCAGGTGGCATACATATTAATCAAACTGACAGCATCTGTGGGAAGAGACAACGAAGAAGATCTAGATCACAGCCAAAACAAGTTTAGAGGCCAACTGTTGAACATATCATCAATTGCTGATATGAAAGTTCAAGCTGGAGCTGAAGAAAATTAAAATAAGTCCACAAGAACTAAAATATGACCTGAGTATATCCCACCTTAATTTAGAGACCATCTCAAGAACCGATTTGACACATTGAACACTAATGACCAAAGACCAGAGGAGATGTGGAGTGACATAAAAAACATCATCCATGAAGAAAGCAAAAGTTTATGAAAAGACAGGGAAGAAAGTAAAGACCAAAATGGATGTCAAAAGACATTCTGAAACTTTCAACAGACTGATGCAGCACTGGAGGCACTAACTCATCTAAGCCAAGAAATTTGGAAGATACCTAGTTATCTGGCCATCCAGTTGGAAGAGATTCATATTTGTGTCCACTTTAAATTTAGGTGACCCAACAGAATGCCAAAATCATCAGACAATATCATTCATATTACTTGCAAATAAAATTTTGCTGAAGATAATTCAAAAAGGATTGCAGCAGTACATTGAGTGGGAACTGCCAGAAATTCAACCTGGATTCAGAAGAGGCCATGGAAGGAGGGATATCATTGCTAATGTCAGATGGATCTTCGCTGAAAGCAGAGAATACCAAAAATGTGTTTGCTTGTACTTTATTGACTATTTAAAGGCATTAGACTATGTGGATCATAAAAAACTATGGATAGTTAGCATTGTGAATAATGAGGATTCCAGAATACTTAATTGTGCTTAAAAGGAACTTGTACCTAGAACAAGAGGCAGTTGTTTGAATAGAACAAGAGGATAGTGAATGGTTTAAAATCAGGAAGATTGTGAGTCAGGGTTGTTATCTTTCACAATACTTACTCAATCTGTTTGCTATACTGATTAAATAATCCAAGAAACCAGATTATATTAAGAAGAATATGTCATTAAGATTGAAGGAAGACTCATTAACAACCTACTATATGCAGATGATACAACCCTGCTTGCTGGAAGCAAAGAGGACTTGGTGAATTTCAAAGACTGCAGCCTTCAGTATGGATTTTACCTAAATGTAAAGAAAACAAAAATTCTTACAACTGGACCCATAAGTAACATCATGATAAATGGGGAAAATGTTGAACTTGTCAAAGACGTCATTTTCCTTAGATTACTAATTAGCACTCATGAACCAGCAGTCAGGAAGTCAAATAATATATTCCCTTAGACAAGGAGTCCTGGTAGGATAGTGGATTACAAGCTGGGATGCTAGCTGCAATGTCATCAGTTCAAATCTACCAGTCGCTCCTTGGGAGAAAGATGAGGTTTTCTGCTCCCTTAAAGAGTAACAGCCTCAGAAACCCTATACAAAGTCACTGTGAGCCGGAACTAATTTCACGACAACCCACCACCGTATCCCATTAGGAGATAGGCTGCAAAGACCTCTTTTAAGTGTTAAAGAGCAAAGATACCAGTTTGAGGACTGAGGTGCACCTGACCCAAACCTTGGTATGTTCCGTTACCTCATGTGCATGTAAAAGTTGGATGGTGAATAAGGAAGACCAGTGAAGAATCAATGCATTTTAATATGGTGTTGGTAAAGAAGAGTGACACTACTATGGACTGCCAAAAGAACAAACAAATTTGCCTTGAAAAAAGTGCAGCCAGAATGCTCCTTAGAAGCAAGGTTGGTATGGCAAAATTTTACCTTTGGTACTGTGAACATGTTGCCAGTAGGGATCAGTCCCTTTCATGCTTGGTGAAAGGAGGATCAGCGAAAAAAAAAGAAGACGTTCAATGAGATGGGTTGACATAGTGGCAGCAACAGTAGGTTTAAAAATAACAATTGTGAAGGTGGGGCAGCACGTGGCATTGTTGCTTTTTGTTTTGCATAGGGTCACTATGAGTTGGATCCAACTTATGGCAACTTACAAAAATAACAATTAATCATAATATTTAAAGTGAATAAAATCTCTTGTTTTATCACTGGGTGTGTTAGGTTGGGCTTTCTGGAGAAGCAAATGCAGTAAAGCTTAAATATGTATATATGTATATATGGAGTTTATGGTGTTGGAGAAGAATATTAAAAGAACCATGGACTGCCAAAAGAACAAACCAGTCTATGTTGTAAAATGTACAGCCAGAATGCTCCTTGGAAGCCAGGATGGCTAGACATCATCTCTCATACTTCACACATATTTATTAGGAGGGACCAGTCCCTGGAGAAGGGTATCATGTTTGGTAAAGAGAGTTGGAAAAAAAGAAGAAAATCCCCAATGAGATGGATTCACACAGTGGTGGCAGCAATGGGCTCAGGCTTAGGACAATTGTGAAGTTGGTGCAGGACCGGCCAGTGTTTTGTTCTGTTGTGCATAAGGTTGCTATAAGTTGGTACCAACTCAATGGCACCTAACAACAATAACAGCAGCAAAGGGAAGTTTTTAGTCAAAAAATGGCCCATACAATTGTAGAGGTGTCTAATTCCAAGTCTATGGGTTAGATGTCTGGCTGGAGTCCCATAAACTTGAGTTATTTTTCAGAGTTGTATGCAATTGATAAATTTATTTCTTAACAAGACTTCCAAACTGTCTAAACTATTGTATGTAACACTAAGAATACCTTCATTCCTTCAGTATCTTGCTCTGTTTGCTGTGTTTATTTGCAAAGGACCTCATGCTTGGGTTTATATAATGTAAATGTTACAAACTGTGGAGCAGACTAGACGTTTTGCTCAGCTGTCTTAGAGGAGGGGAAGTTGTGTATGGAAATCTACTTGGGTAGAATTTTCACTTATAAGGATTATTACTATGTTAAGAATTAAAATAAACTTCTGGTTGAGGTTTTATAGTTTCTGTAAAAATAAAATTAGTGGTCTGATCCTATTATCCTTTGACAAGCAAAACTGTAATTGATTTACTTGAATGTGATCTCTCTCCTCTAGAGTAACCTAAGACCTATGAGCACTGAGAACGGGCGCCTGGATTTTTGATTCTCTGTTTTCAGTTTAATTGATGGATTTTCAATTAGCAATAAAAATCTCTTTTCTTTCACTAAGAATCCTGAATGATACAGGTCATATAACACACAGTAATAGAAACTTTTCAAATGTAGTGCAGAAAGACCAGATTTATTGGTGTGTCAAATCATTTTAATTTATTTAAATTATTTGCAAACTACTTGGATGTGAAGTTTTTACCAGCCAGCACCTAATTCCTTGCTTTAATAAGTTGGCCTTATAGAAAAGAAAGAAATATAATGCATAAGAATTGCACAATATACAAACTAGCATATTATCTAAGTAACACGTGGAAGATTGCTAGCGTTTTTGTGTCAAAACATATGCTTCTTTTAGGTAAAAGTCAGTTTGCAACTGCTCTGTCTTTTCTTGTCATTGTCTAGTAATTGATTCATTCACAACCTTAATGCAAGCAATTAATGTATGGACATGAAGATCATGAGTACCTTCATGTGGCATCTAATGCTGACATAATCCAAGGATCTGGGTTAAAGTTTTGTTGTTGTTGTTGTTTTAACTTCAAACACTTGGCATTCTGTATCATTGTCTCTCTCTTAACACTAACATTTTATTTCTTATCATGACTTCCAGCACTGTCTGGTGACAGGCAAATAATGTTCTTCTTAAGTCAAAACACACCTAACAGTAATTGTGCTTTTCATATTCTTTTTTCCTTCCCGTACCATCCTATCCCCAACTTAGGTTGGAAAGGCTGGTGGACGTCCTGAGGAAGAAAGTTGGAACAGGGACCATTCGGACTGTGATCTGACTGAAAAAACGACTGTCTGGGGAAGCAATCACATGTGGTGACCAGGCTGCTTCATTCAACACTGTGTAAACACTAAAGCCTTAACTTAGCAAACAGTTGTTAGAAGTGGGACACTCCAACCACATTCCAAGCTGAGATAAAATCAAATCACAAATGTTTAACCACTTTGCTGCTGACTTATTTATCCGAATGTATTAACTACAGTCTTTCAACAACGGGTAGCTATAAAGTTGCAGCTTATTTTGTAGCTGTTTTATATCTCAATATAGTTTCATAATTCTTATTCTTGGGAGATCATTATGGAGAAACATGGTTAAGTTGGTCATGATCTTGTCTTACATATGGCACTTGTGTAATCAAAATGCAGCAAAGTAAATTTTAATCTAAAGCTTAATCAACACTGTGTTAGTCAAAATTTCAAATATATGCATATTTTAATATAGAACATATTTCTTAACCAATGGTAGTGGCTCAGATACAGGCACGTGTAACTTTCCTTCAACACATGTGTATGATCTTTGTTGGTATTAAAGAATATTAACTAGATGAATAGATGATAAAAATTAAATGTATCATTTACTTTAATAAGAATCTGGTACATTAAAATTTAATTCCTAAAGGAATGAATTTTGTTTCACTAGAACTTATGCTGGCAGTGTTGAATAAAAAGAAGAGATTTTTAATATGCATAAATTTGTATTGTCAGTATTTTTTAATGTTGGTTTAATTTTCTAAAATCTATACAATCTATAGAAATTTCCAAGTCTCTGTCCAGTAGACCAGAGTAGCTTTTGCTGAAAAACAATAGGTACCAGCATGCCTCTGTCTTGAAAGAGTAGAGGCCATCGGACCAGGTAAATATTCTTTGTGATTGTCATTACTTAGATTATTACTTGAACGTTTGTTATGGAAAAGAGGAATCCAATACATAGTAAAATTAAAATGTAAAACTTAAGAACTTAGAAAAAAGTGAGGCTGCAAGTTGGTTCCATTTACCTAAACTTTTCTATTATTTAAGAGATCATTTTAAGTAGGCACAACATAATAGTCAATTCTAATCATATAGAGTTCTGAATAAAATAAAACAGATGTTTATCTATTTGGCTATAAGAACAGGTTGATTAGATGAGAGACCGATAGGATATGACTATATGAAAAATGTTCTGAGTCCGTTTACTTTTAAAATTCATCTTTAAGATTGAGCTAAATTATATGCCATTGCCTATTTTCATAATTAGGATATAGTAATTTACTAAAACTATTATTTCATATACCACTGGAGATTATTTGTTAGGATTTTAACTATAGGAAATATAGGATGCTTTCTCATTGGTTGCAAAAGAATCATAATACTAACTGTTTATTTTTTGTTAGCTCTGTATCCTTTAGCTTAACTGGAAGTTGACACCATCATGTTGCCTTAAAATATGTATTTTTTTTACTATGAGGATTAGAAAATGTAAATGCAAGGCGTTTATAATTATGCATTGTTTGGTCACATGTGGAGTCACATGATGGATTTTAATAGAAACTTGTAACAGCTCCATACTGAAATCAACTAGGAAAGTACAAAAGTAATTTTCTAGCTTTTTTCATAAAATAAGGAATATTCATTCATTCCTAAACCCTCCCAAAAACTCACAAGTGAACTTAAATTTTCAGTTTAGTTCTGAAAAACATATAGATCGCTTCTGAGTTACTTTGTTTGGGTTTTGGAGGGTAAAAAATTATAGTATAAAAACATCTCATACTTTTCAAACATCTTCCTCAGATTAGAACAATTGATTCTCATAATCAATATCCACAGCAGTTTTTATAGAACTTGATACTATAAAAACTAAATATACAAAACAATTGTAACATTCACTATTACTCAGTGTAGATAATGTGTCAGAAGTATCACATTTGCTTGAAAGTCAGTTGTTTACAAATAGAAAGTATTATAACATAATATCATCATTAAGAAAGTATTATAACATAATATTATCATTAATTGATTTCTTATACTTAAAAATATCCCGAACAATATTTTAGAGTAGTCTTTATATATGTATGCATACTGAAATAATCGTGTTTGCTGAAGATGGGATTTCTACAGATTCAATGATAGTATGACTTCAAAAGTAATCCGTATCACTCAGTTATGTTGCTTTCAGTTTGCGTTAAGCATCATTAGGTCTAATTCCTATAGTAATATGAGAACCCACTTCTCATAAAAATAAGTACCTCAGAGTAAAGACAGAAAACTTAATACTAACATTTGTAGCACTTGGTGATTTACAAGATCCTTTCACATCTTTTTCTTTTCATTCAATCCTCACAACAACCTTTTAAGAATAATAATATAGATATGTAATAATATGAGTCAGAACTGACTTGACACACTTAACAACAACAGGTAATAATGATGATTCTAGTATTATTGTTATTACATCTATTTTACAGATGAAGGAACAGAGAGGCTATGAATTTGCCAAGGATTAGCTAGATTTAACAATCTGGGTCTTATGATTAAATTCCATGAAATTGCTGGTCCTCCAAACCTTTCTATAAGAAAAAGAAAAGATCAAAGGTAGGATTTAACTCTTGAAATTCCTGTTATTACTGTACTGTATGAATATTGAGAATACCATGGGCTGCCAAAAGAACAAACAGATTTGTGTTGGAAGAAGTGCAACCAGAGTGCTCCTTGGAGGCCAGGATGGCCAAACATCGTCTATCATATTTCAGACATATTGTCAGGAGAAACCAGTCGCTGGAGAAGGATATCATGTTTGGTGAGGTGGAAGGTCAGAGAAAAAGAGGAAGACTCTTTTTCCAATGAGATGGATTGGCAAAGTGACAGCATCAATGTGCTCAACCGTGGCAACAATTGTGAGGTTGGCCCAGGACCGGGCAGTATTTCATTCTGTTGTGCATAGGGTTGCTTTGAGTCGGTACCAACTCGATGGCACCTAACAGCAACAACATGTTCTTCTTTCAATGAAATAACAACAATGTGCCTGTGTACATGTTGTTAAGTGCCTCATATCGACCCTGTACAGAGTTTTCGAGGAATGACTGGTGGGTTTGACCTACCAACCCTACAGTTAGCAGTCCAGTGCTTATCCTACAGCACCACACATTATTATTATCTCTCTTTAGTATTTTACTAGAGTCTTGGTGAGGGACTGTGGGTTAGTGTGCTAAACTGCAAAGCTGGTTTGAACCGCAAGGTTGGCAATTGAAACTCACCAGCTGCTCCTAGGAAACGCTATACAAAGTCACTATGAGTCGGAACCAACTGACTTAAAACACTTAAAAGCACTTAAAAACAACATAGTAGTTTACTAACAGCATTCTTTCCCTTGTTGGTAAGTGCCAACAAGTGGGTTCCTACTCATAGGGACCCTATATAAGGTTTCTGAGGAACGACTGATGGGTTTGAACCCCTGAAATTGCAGTTAGCGGTCCGGTAATTATCCTACAGCACCATTCCAGGACTTTCCCTTAGCGCATTGTTGTTGTTGTTAAGTCCCATCGAGTCGATTCTGACCCATAGCGACCGTGTACAGGGTCTGTAAATCTTTATGGGAACAGAAAGTCTCGTCTTTCTCCTCCAGAGCCACTGGTAGTATCAAACTGCTGACCTTGAGGTTAGCAACCCAACTTGTAACCCCTATGCTACCAGAGCTCCTTTAGCCACCTTGGCCACGACTAATTATAAATATTTTAAGTAGCAATAAAAATATTAATTGAAAATAACCTTGAGATGCTTTGTAGTATTTTTAATTTGGCTTGATGTTATAACCTAGTGGTTTTATGAAATGGTAGTTTAAACTCATTCCTACAGGCATCAGTTATCAAGCTATGAGCAACGTTATTAGTTGCAAGATATAAGCAACATGTTAATAGATAATAATTAATATATGAGAAATTTTCATTCTTTTATAAATAAGTTATTAGGTTAAATTTTTGTATTTTTTAAAAAAATTGTAATCTTTTATCTAGTGAAATGTTATGCTTGCCTTTTAAAATGAGAAAGTGGATCATATGTCTTTTTTCCCAATTAAAACGGATTTATTTTAAAAAATACTTTATCCAGGTTTTCCATGAAGGTTTATACAGCAAATGAGCTCCCACTGAACATTTTTACACATATTATTCAGTGACATTGGTTATGTTTTCCATATTGTTTTCAACATTCTCAATATTTCTGTTCTGGTTGCTGCATTATTGCTGCTTCCTTGCCCAACTTTCCCTTCTCATCTTTGTTTGAGAGTAAACGCGGATTAAATAGATTGTATATAATCTACTTACATATACAAGCAGCCTTCAAAAAGTTCATGTAACAATAGAATGAAGATAGAATTTATTCCATGCACTTTTTGACGCCCCCGCTTAGTATGCATGGGTGATACGGTTTTATGTATCAATCTGTTATTTAAAGATGACCCCCAGCTATAGTTTCAGTTAAAAGGATATTTTGTAGGAGGACTCCCAGGTTTCTCTCAGTCCAGTAAAGCTGGCATTTTTGTTGTTGTTCTACAGTTTTATCCCAGAGACTATCTACTGTGGACCTGGTCAAAAGAATTTATAATGGTAGCTATTGTTAAGTCGGTTCCAATTTTTAGAGACCCTGTGAAGTTTCTGAGGAGTGGCTGGTGGGATTGAACCACTGACCTTACAGTCCAGTGCTTATCCTACAGAACTCTTTTAAGTGCTATGGAATCCTTTCTGACTCTGTACAGGGTTTCCAAGAAGCTTCTAGTGGGTTTGAACTGCCAACCTTGGGCTGATCCAACAGCACCAAACCATCTAATTCTTCTGATCTCTGATAGGTAAGGCTATTCTAGTTACGTTTTGCTGCAGAAATATTGATCCTGGGAGCTGCTCCAGATCTCTTTAAGGATGCTATTAAAACTACATGTACTGTGTTACTGCTTTAAAATCAACAATAACAACTCAACTGAGATCCTAAGGATTTCATTATCATAGACTAGACCCACTCTCCCCACTAGCTCACCATGTTGGCTTACACCATCTTGCTTTCTCTGTAACATGCCAATTGTGCTTATCTCAAGGCATTTGCACTTGCTAGGAGTCCTGGTGTGGCACTACAGGACAATGCACTGGACTTCAACGTCAGTGATTCAAACCTACCAGCAGCTCCTCAGAAACGCTATACAGGGTCGCTGTGGGTTGGAACCAACTCAATGACACTTAACACCTTAACACCAAAATACTTTTATATAGGAATGTAGGAGTTTCAACTCAAAGCAACCCTGACTAGGGTGTCTGAGAATCAGTTGTAGGGTCTGAACCACTAATCTTGTGGTTAGCAGTCCAGTGCTTATCCCACAGTGGTACACCAGGACCTAATAGTAGGATAATAGAGCCAGGTAATAGGTCCTGGTGTGGTGCTGTGGGTTTATGAGCTTGGCTGCAAAATTGGTTTGATCTGCAAGGTCTGTGGTTCAAGCTCACCAACTGCTCCCAGGAAACCTTATTCAGGATCACTATGGGTTACAACTGACTCAACATAAGCCAGATAGGATCACTGAGTCAGAATTAACTTGGTACAACAGGATTTTAGTGGGGGAGCCCAGGGTGTGTGTGTGTTTAGTGGTGGGGGTTGGGGTAGGTTAGGTGATTTATCCAAGGCTATAAAGGCAGAAGTAGCAGAGATGGGATTTACCTACACATGA